AAGATCGCGAACTAATTGGTATGATCTAACCGAAAGGCATTAATTAGCGATCATGTGTGTTTGGACTGCAATCGCATGTATGAAGTATGAACGTAGCGTAAATACCTTGGGTATCACTAAAGTATGAGAATTGGGAGAGACATACCACTTAAATAAGAACTAGCTTTTTACCCGGCCCGTTGGCCAGTGATTTTCATTTTATCATTCAAATTAATCAATTTATCTATATGTTTAAACTATTTTGGATCTTCTAAATTTTTTACATTTGCATTCATACGTGAGTACGCGGTGCGTCTATAAATTAAAAATTCTCAATACTTAGCACATTCACTTATGATGCTTCGATTCTCTTATCATAAATCATGTCACAAAGATATATCACAGCCCATATAGAATCTTATGTCAAGCTTTGTCAACAACGATACTCGTTTTTTTTTTATCTTATACAATATATATATGCCATTAAATGAATCTCGAGTTTGGACGAACTCTCAACCAATGATGTTGAAGATGACGACAACTTAGTTAGAATTTATTTTATAAAAGTACTTCAATATTAGATAAATTTGGTCATCCCAATTGAAAGTTTATTGTCTTAGTGTAAGATCATATTTGTCGATCAAGACACTCAATTTAATATCTTATACAATATGTACCAATTTTTAATTCCTGAAGTTTAATTTAGACTCACCCTCGACTCATGGTCGTTGTTTAGAATCTCGGTCCAAGATACTCACACACTGTCGAGGGTTCTAATCTTAACATGGTTCACTGGTGTATAATTTTCTAACTTATTAAAATTTATTGATATTCGGTGTTTGTTTTGGGATAAAAATTCCATTACTTATACTAATATCTTCATTTTGTTGGTGTAATGCCACATCTATTGTCAATGTCTAAGCACGATACTATACTCTAAGTAAGAAAACGCTATCTGGATCACGAATTAACCAAATTTGTGGGCATGATACTATACCCTAACCCTTGATGAGTGAACCCTAGGTCTTAGTTATCTAAATTATAGAGCTTAACCCCTAAGATTGTGCATGTAATTTATTGCATATATTTTGACAAATCATGACCGTTGATTTTTGTTTATAATCAAATTGATCATAGGGTATGAGATTTATAAATTTAAGACCTAGATTTTAATCTTTAAGGGTTTGAGAATAATACCATATGTCAAACTCCAGTCAATTCAAGGTCTAGGTATCTTTTTCTTATTCAAGGTATGTCATAATATACATATAAAATATAAAGAGTTTAATGTATTTTTAAGTGTAATTAACACCTTTGTTTGACCGAAATATGTAAATTGTTAAGAAAAATAAGGGAAAATATGAACAAATGTAAGACAAAATAAGGTATGGAAGCATGCATTATAAGATAGAAGAAAAGTTGTCTTTCTTTATCATCTTCATTTGCACAATCAAGTACTATATTATGGCTTGGTCAAGTTTCTATCCAAATGAAAAAAAAAACAATTTTTAAAGCATTTTGCTATTTAATATTTGTTTTCGTTGATAGATACAATCATTAGAAAAAGATAGTAATTGATAAGTAAAAATAAAATTATAGTTGGGTTTTCAAATTTAATTGATTATTAAATGTTGATTATCTAAACTTCCTTCATTATAACCTATATTAAGTTCTAATAAACTAAAAATAAAAATTAATTGATCATGTTTAATCAAATATATTTTTTAAAAGATTACAATATATGTCACTCTCCAAACATTAGTATACTGATGCTACACATATATATTGCAAATAACTATTATTGAATAAAAAAAGAAAACATTAAAAGAAAATAGAGATAGCTACATAAATGATCATTAAAATAAAAAGAAAATATTAAAAGAAGATAGATATAGCTACATTAATTGATCATTACCAACTTTTTTGTTTGTAAAAAAAAGTGTCCACCATGGCACCTTGTAAATTCTCCAAATGCTTATGTGGCAACAAACTACTTTTGAATTGCCATAATATTATGTACAGATAGATAGATAGATAGGGCATCGCGTGCCACTGAACTCAATTATATGTGCATCCGGTACCACTTAAGTTTACTGTTAAGTGCATTTCGTTAAAGTTAACATAATATTCTTGGAATATTCTGCTTTCTAAATTTCAGAATTGGTTATTCTACTTTTCTTATTGTAAATCTTGTTTGGACTTATGAAAACCATCTTTTTTTTATTGTTTAGTTGGAATCCTCTTTTGAAAACTCTAATACCAAACCAATTTTTGAGTAGAAATTTCAGAATCAATTATCATTATAGGAGTCAACTAGTATGCTCCAAATGATCTGGCCGTTAGATTTACATGGATTAGCTCCGACCAATCTCAACAGTCAACTCTTCTTTTCTCTTAAATTGAACTTTGGGATTGGGATTAGAAAATCGGGGCCTGGGGTTTATCCATTTGAGATTAGGATATAGTATCATACCCCAAACTCGGTTTAATTAATGGTCTAGATAGAAATATCTCACTATGAGTACATGAAGCATAGTATTCTCCAGGAGCACACGAGTCTGACCCTATCATTATAAGTATTTTCATTTATCATTATGTGTTCTAATAATTGAATTATTCCATGAAGCAAATATATCCTATGAATGTCGTCTCGATATAAATAATCTGATATAAATAATCTGAGTATGTTATATTTAGTTATCTGTGTTGTGTAATTTTCCATGTTATATTTCTTTGTAATTCTCTAATATTATATTATAGATGCTCCACATTAGTTAAATTTACTAATTCTAATTCTCTTACTATAGTTATTTTTTTCTTTTCTAGATTTGTTACTGAATGTTGTAGTTTTTATAGTTTACTTATTATTTGGTTATTTTACGTCTATTTTTTGTTCTAATTTTTTTCCAATTACTGGAATATGTTTAATTCTTTCTGATTGTGTTCCATGTATCCTTCTTTGGTCTTGATGTATTAATGGTAGTTTAAGTTATATTTTAACTATTTTTAGTGGTGCTTTTAATTGGATTAAAGGTTTAAATATATCTTCTAATATTGATTTTAAATATTTTTTTATTATCTTCTAGTATATTTATTATTCCTTCTTGATATTCTTTTATTATTTTTACTAATTTATCTATTTTTTTAAACTTTTCATTAGCCAATATAGTGATACTATGTTTAGAAGGTTTTCTGATTTTTATATTAGTTAATATTTATTGAAATATAGTTTTGGATGTTTATAAAAGTTTTGGGTATCAAAAGGTAATTAAATTTTTGGGTTGGATGGAAAACTAGACAGATGCACATTTTGTGGACTTTAATGGTATCTGGTGTCTTATTCAAAGTTAAGTGATATGTCTATTCCAATTCCCAAATTTAAGTGGTACATGAGATATTTTATCCTATACAAAATGCAAATATGTTCGGAAAATAGGTTCGGGAAGGAGGAGCATCACATCGGCGTAGCCGACCTGTTCATGGCGAAACAACGAAAACCATGATACAAATGAATACAGATCCATTGGTTTCCTTTAGTTGGCTTGGGGTCAACTAAAATTGAAAGTAATTGTTTGCAGTTTTCGCAACAGCGCGGTTTCGATCGATCTATGTCACAAACTAAGAATCGTTTAATAATTAGACCACAAGCGAAACCACAAGCTTTACGATGTGGTTTCGATTGACCACAAAAGGTCCGACCACACCGACATCGACTCCTACTTAGTTTTAACAAGCACAGTATTATTCCCGCTTGACTTATTTGAAACTTCTTTGATAAGATTTGGTTTTGTAACCCCAATCTTTGCTGATGGTAACTTGCGCGTCAATTTTTACTCCAAGACCAACTACATCATTCATTAATCAGAATTTCAAACTCTTTTCTTTTAATACTAGAAAAAATATGTTCTCCTTGTCCAAATCCAAGATTCAACCCAGCTGGCAGTAAATTAAGAACAACTCAACACCGTGGAGTGGGCCTAGAAAACTTGGCAGAGTAATAATAAGAGAAGAAAGAAACTCTCTTTCTTCATCATGAAAGAACCATAGGGATCTTCTCCTCCTCTGACCTCTTCTTTTTCTTCTGCTTCCTCGTCCCTTTTCTTCACCCACAGAGCTTCTTTCTTCTTCTTCGTCCCCGATACCAGAAACCGCCGTGTGCAAGAAGAGCACTTTCCCTACTAAAATACAATCGAGAGAGGGAAGCAGAAAAAACACTGTTTCCCTTTCCCCATCTGTCAAACCCAATTTCTCGACTTTCTTGGCATCTTCTGCCTTCTGCTGCTGAAAGCTTTTCACCACCTCCCCAACTAACCAACCCCAACCAACCAATTGAATGAACCCTTTTCCCATGTTCCCAAGTCCCTTCCCTTCCCTTCCCTTCCCTCACCTCTCTCTTTCTTGTTCGAGCTCGTGACATAAGGAGGGAGCTGAGTTCCTCGGAAAATCCAGAGCAAGCCCATCCCTGTAACTAAAAATCCCCACTTGTCTCTGCCAAATATGAGGTGAGAGACCGCGTCAAACTTCATCCCCTCTGTCTGTTTTCTGAGTGCTAGCTAGCTGTGATATGTCCCTTTCTTTGCAATTTGACTTGCCTTTTCCAAGGTTCGTCCCCGGTTTCATCACATGAGTCTCGTCCATTTACATTCATTTCAGCTATTTCTGCCTATTGGGTCTCTCAATCCCCCCAGCCAAGGGTTTCATTTCGTCACCATCAGCCTAAAGTTCGAAACTTTTCCTGCTTCTGGGGAAAACCACCCAAGTCTTTCGTTTCAATCGAATTCCCCACTTCTTCTTCTGAATTTCAGGAACTATAATTGCTCGATTCCGCCTCTGAGATTGTAGGGGTTTGCCACTTCTTCTGAAACCAGGCTTTCTTTATGAAGCCAATTCCCACTTCGCCTGAATATTTTGGTTGCTACCCTCGATTAATCATGGCCAGATGCTATCTGGGTTCGATTCCGTTGCTGCTGTTCCTCCTCCTGTGCGATGATTGCACAGCTAGCGTCCGGTTAGTGGGCAAGATGGATCCAGGGTTTCAAGGTGCTCAAATGAATTGGATTGACAACTCCGGAATCTTCCTGGTCTCGAACAACTCACTCTACGGCTTTGGCTTCAAAACCACCACCGATGTTACCGAATTCCTACTAGCTATCATCCACATGCGCAGTACTCAAGTCATATGGACTGCCAATCGAGGGTCCCCGATTTCCAATTCCGATCAGTTCACCTTCGACAAGACCGGTAAAGTTGCATTGAAGAAAGGGGGGAGTATAGTTTGGAATCCTGATACCAATGGGAAGCCAGTTTCTTCAATCCAAATGCTTGATTCAGGCAATTTGGCCTTTTTTGGTAGCGACAATAAGCTAATCTGGCAGAGTTTTAGCCATCCAACTGATACTCTCATAACAAGCCAGGATTTTGGTCAAGGAATGGAGCTTGTAAGCAACCCTAGTAGCTCTACCAACTTGACTTACATACTCCAGATCAAGTCCGGAGATCTGATTCTCTCTGCAGGCTTCAAAACTCCCCAGCAGTACTGGTCGATGCAGAACGACAACCGGAAGACCATCAACAGCAATGGTGGTGATGTCTCTGTGGCAACCATTGAAGGGAATTCGTGGAAGCTTTATGATTCGAGCCAGGTTCTAGTTTCACAGTTCATTTTCTCAGATAGTTCATCAGCTAATGCTACATGGGCTGCAGTCATGGGCGATGATGGGTTCGTTTCGTTCTACAATCTCGACGTGACTGCCTCAGCTGCTGCTGCTCCCACAAAGATACCGGCTGATCCGTGTAGTAGACCTCTTCCCTGTGGTGCTTATCTGGTTTGTTCTGGTAACAATGTCTGTCAGTGTCCTTCGCCACTCAGCTCTCAGCCCACTTGCAACCCGGCTGTGGGTTCATCTTCATGTAAAATGTCAACAGAACTCGTGGATGCTGGGGATCAGCTGAGCTATTTCGCACTCAGCTTTGCGCAGCCTTCTTTTGCAAAGACCAATTTGGAAAGTTGCAAGTCTTCCTGCACAAGCAATTGCTCTTGCCTCGCAATGTTCTTTCAGAACAGCTCGAAAACCTGCTTCCTATTTAACGATCTGGGGAGCTTCACAAGGCCCAGCTCGACCTCAGGATTCGATGCATTTATCAAGGTAAAAGCAGGAGGGATAGGGAGTGGAGGTGGAAGCAATGGCGGGAAAGGATTTCCATTTGGTGCTATCATATCAATAGCTCTTGGAACTGTCTTTGCCATTCTCGCTTTGTTATTTGTGGCATTTAGATGCTACAAGAGGAGAGGTCGTGGATTCCAAGAATCTCACGGGGATTCCTCAGAAGACGACATGTTCCTGGAGAATCTTTCAGGGATGCCAATGCGGTTTACTTACAAGGAGCTTCAGACTGCAACGAATGACTTCTCGGTGAAGCTAGGACAAGGTGGGTTTGGGTCGGTTTATCAAGGAGTTCTGCCCGATGGGACGAGGCTGGCTGTAAAAAAGCTGGAAGGGATTGGACAAGGCAAGAAAGAGTTTCGAGCTGAGGTCAGCATCATAGGAAGCATACATCACCACCATTTGGTTAGGCTGAGAGGGTTCTGTGCTGAAGGAAGCCATCGTATGCTTGCTTACGAGTTTATGGCAAATGGTTCCCTCGACAAGTGGATCTTCAGGCGAAGAGATAAAGACCAAGAAGGGGAGTTCCTGCTAGATTGGAGAACAAGGTTCGATATCGCGGTAGGGACAGCGAAAGGCCTGGCTTACCTACACCAAGACTGCGATGTGAAGATCATCCACTGTGACATCAAGCCCGAAAACGTCCTCTTGGATGGCAACTTCCTCGCCAAGGTCTCTGACTTTGGGCTGGCCAAGTTGATGACCAGAGAGCAGAGCCACGTTTTCACCACCATGAGGGGCACCAGAGGATACCTGGCCCCCGAGTGGATCACGAACTACGCGATATCAGAGAAGAGCGATGTGTACAGCTATGGGATGCTGCTGCTGGAGATCATCAGCGGGAGGAAGAACTTTGTCGCATCGGAGACCTCCGAGAAGTCTCATTTCCCTTCCTATGCGTTCAAGATGATGGAGGAAGGCAAGCTGGGGGAGATCTTCGACTCGAAACTGAATCTGGATAAAGAAGACGAGAGGGTTTCCACCGCGATCAAAGTCGCGTTGTGGTGCATACAGGAGGACATGCACGTGAGGCCGTCGATGACGAAAGTTGTGCAAATGCTGGAAGGGATATGTCCTGTTCCTAAGCCGCCAACTTCGTCTCCATTGACAGCGAGGCTGTACTCGGGGATCTTCAAGTCGATCAGCGAAGGAGGAACTTCGTCGGGCCAGTCGGATTGTAACAGTGATGTATATCAGTCTGCTGTACGGCTGTCAGGGCCTAGATAACACAGTTCCAGTTTTTGTTGGTTGTTATAGAGAGGCCATCGCATTTCCTTGTGTATAATATTCAATGTATAAGGTTATTGTTAGCTGAATCAGAAGTTTTGTACTGGTAGTAACCACCAAGCCAGTGTCTAATAATGCATATGATGAAAATGATTACTTTCATAACTGGGATTAGCAGAGCTCATTGGGAGACAACAAGATCCGCCCAAATGCCAGGGGGGAAGCTGACAAAGTAGCTTAGATTCAGCTGAGAAGTACTACATAGTACAAAGGCAAGAGTCCAAGGTTGTTGAAGTAATAAGTGCGTGCTTTGGCCGCTATCTGTTCTAGATGTTTGAAAATTGGGATTGACGACTTGGATGTTGATCGAGACATGACGATGCACATCACATCGTCTTCATAATATGCCACTCTGTTTTCTATCAAGTCAAACATAAACCATTGTGCTAGATTGTCTACACTCTACAATAGTACAATAGGAGCTCCGAAAGTATAAATGTAGTCCTTGACTCCTTGTGGGCAAAATGTTGGTCCTGCTTTGTATAGGATTGTTTTTTATTTTATTTTTTATAATGGTGATAATTTCATCAGAGAGAAAAACCAAAAGTCCGGAAGTCAAAAACAAAAAGGAACAAAAAGGGAAGCTGCACCAGGAGTGCAGACCCCAGCAAAAGAAAACAACAGGTTATAATTTCCAACGGACTACTCCCCGAAAAACTGAGATGTCTCTCTCTCTACATACTCCTCCTCTCGTCTCTCACCGGAGAGGCTCTACAGCTGTCGCCTGCGGAGCCATCAAGTTTGGTCACCTGAGTTTCCAGAAAGATAATGTATACGGACCCATCAATCAAACCCCAGTTGAAGATAGCAACTACAACAAAAAAATCCAGGAAGATCACCGTGAAGTAAATGAGCAGATTTTCAATCATGAAGAGCTACTATTCACCGCCGCTGCATCACCCTATAAGAGTTGCGTCAATGGAGAGAAAGACCTCAATGAGGCCATTACTCCGCCGCCCAAACCACCAGAGGTACTACCAGTCAGTGAAAGCAAAGGAAGGGCTACACTCACGGCAAATACAGTGAGCATTAAAGAGTAGAAAGAAGATGAAGGAGAAGACATTGAAGACAAACACAAGAAAATCCAATCTGCTAAAGATCCCCAAACCAGGGGATACCTGAGAACACTTGAGATAGCGACCTGGAGATCTAGTGCATCAATCATCTACATTTATATCACTCACATCAGGGCAAGCAGAGAAAGTAAATACACTGACAAGGGACATAAGGCACAATATCTACTGACGACGAATGAAGGTAATAAGACAAGCAGAGAAGGAATAAATGAGGAGAAAGACAGATACCACAAATGGCAATTAAGAGGAAGTCTGACATACCCAAAGGGATAAGGAAGGAGAAGGAAAGAGCAGGTGAATGGGAGAGCATTCAATGAGAGGAGCAAGATCACAGACAGAGTACTGAAGGAAGATCGTGCCTATATAAAGAAGCTAACACATAGAAACCTCCATCAAACCCATTACCCCTTTCTAAACCAAACACTAAGGAAAAACAGCACTCTCAATCAGCCAACCTTCCCTATCCCAGCCACACCATGGAACACAACATGAATTTGAGGGGAGAGAAAAGCCACCTAGTGCTGAATGTAAGGCCAACTATAGTGGGTGCGAGAGGAAGCGGAATGGCCATGCTCCTAGGCAAGTGGATCACCGATGATAGCATCAACCTGCACAAGGCAAAGAACGCCACAATCAGCAAATGGAGAGCCTACGGGGAGGTCCAAGCAACAAAAGAAGCTTATAACCTATTCGTCTACACCTTCCAATCAATCAAGCAGAGAGATGAAGTCTGGGAGGCCAGGCCGTGGAATCTCAGCAACACCCTGATCGCCCTGAAGAAATGGGATGATGAGCAAAAGGTGGAATCGGCTGACATACCCACAGTCACTTTATGGGTTCAAATGCATGACCTTCACCAATCACTTAAAGATGAAGAAGCAATCCAGGCGGTAGCGGAGTTCATCTTTCCCCAATTCCACTACATTGATCGCTCCAACATTGATTTCAGAGGATGGGTAAAGTTCATCAGAGCCAAAGTCGAGGTACAACTGGACCAACCCATACCAATAGGCTTCGAATACCCCATTGGAGAGCGATCCATCTAGGTTAGCTTCAAATACGAGAGGATAATGGATCTGTGCTATTTTTGTGGGAAACTCGGGCACTTGATCCACAACTTCCTGAAAAGAGAAGATCACCGGAGAAGAGGCTAATGTATCGACCCATCGGAAGTGTACACTCCGCCCTCAAAGCAGGCCATGACTCACCGGCAAACACGCCTCCAGCCTCATTCAGGGAAAAGCTGGCCAGATCGCGCTGCCCGACAATCACTGGACACCCAGTCAGCCAGATACGCGGAGCTCGAGGTGAATCCTCTCTCATGAGCATGGTAGGCCACACCGGACAGAGTTCACAGGCGTGCCCACTGGGATTCACTATCCTAGAACTGGTGACGACTGGGAGGAATACAAGATGGATCTAGAGCGGCGAAGTCAGAAGCCCCACACCTAGCTTCCAACCTACCTTCCTGGAAATGGAACTAGAGGCGAATACAAGGGCCATGCAAAGAGACCTTGACCTAGGCGAAAGAGACAGTGGCAGAGAGAAGACTGCGGGCCTCATCGGAATGGGCCAAACCCTCTCACTAGCCAGCCAGTTTTATGTCCAGGCAGGACAGAACTTCTCACCTTCCGGAACGGAGAACCAGGCCCAGTCGCTGAGCCCACAAGCACCGGCCCCGACTCCAAATGCAGAGGCGGAACTGGTGACTAGTTGAGAGGAAGGCAGGCCCAGGCCGGAGAAAAGAGGAAACCAGATAGCAGACACAGCCCAACAAGCTCTCTCCCACAAATGGGCGCCTCTACTAACATCTCTTTTGATTCTCTATCTTTTGCCCCAGGTGATAATCGCAAGGCTTACCAAAGGAGGAAACATGTGACCAGAAGGAGAAGCATAGCAGAGATAACGGGAGATGGAAACCAGTGCGGAGAAGGGGACTCTCACTCTCCTAGGACGATGGCGGCAAGCCTTAAGCCGTCAAATCATGAATGAGGATCATTAGCTGGAATTGTAGGGGATTTGGCCAATCCCTTACGAGAAGCTACTGCGGCAGACTGTAACACCCCGGCCTTTAGGTTTAGGTTCGACCTTTGTACGTGATCGGTTGGATTGACGGTTACGTACTAAGAGTTACAATCGCGAATTAAAAATAATAATATTATAACAGTATTTTATTATAATATTATTATTACTAAAGGGAAAGAAAAAAAATAATAATTAATACCTGGGAAGGGCCGAGCGGCCACTTCCCCAGGAAACCTCCCCACGTCCAAAACCCCTCCCCATCAATAAATCCCCCATCTCCGCAGCAGCCTTTTCCCCCAAATGAAAACCCCACTGCCGCCCAATTCTCATTCCCCAGCGAGAGGCGAGTTTTCCAGGCGCGAGGCAAATTTCTCCGGCGCGAGGGGAAAAGAAGGAGCCCGCCGCCACCTGTGACCCCGATCCCGACCCCAATTCGAATCCCATCCCTTTCGTGTTTCTAGGTAAGGATCACGTACCCCTTCGTGATTTCTAAACTCGATTTATCGATAGTCTAATCCGAAACTCGTATTTTATTAGCGGTGACGTTTGAGGGTTCGATCAACGAGGAGATCAACGTCCCGGGTCATCCAACCTAGGCCTAGGCACATTCTAGAGGTAAGAGAACTCGATCCCTTTGAGTTAGATCGATTGATTTGGTGATTTTTCGTGAGGGTAGAATTCTGGGGTTTAGCAACAGACGTTAAGGCTTTTAGTGTAAGAATTTGGGCGGTCACTAAAGCTGCTAGGAATTTTCAGAAACTCGTTTTAGATGGTTTAAATGGTTTCGAGTCTCTGTGGGTGTTTGTTCCTGGGTTTAACAATTTTATAAATTGAGGGAGGTCTAGGAGATGGCTGTAATTTAATTTGGAGATTTTCGAAGATGTATTTTAAAATTTAGAAATTGTTTGAACATTCGTTTTAATTAAATAAAAATATTTTCGGGGAGTTTATAAGGGTTTGATAATTTTCCAGGGTATAAGTACTCACGATTGATGTATAAAAATTATTATCCGAATTTTTAAGAAGGTTCAAGTTAGATGGAAAATTCGTCCAAGACTAAAATAATTAAGAAAAATAGTCGGTTTTGAAGGAATTAATTCTAGAAATTTTTAATGGGGTTTAAAGAACCTTTGGAGTGAGGTTTGAGGATGGGACTTTGAGTAGAGGGTGTTTGGGTAGATAAAAAGGAGGCTTTTAAATCGTAAAGGGTGTCTTAGAATATGAATTTCTTATTAATAGGTTTCCTGAGATAATCCGGCTAAGGAGCCAAAAGAGGAAAAACGCGCGGGACATGACCGTGAGAATGAAGACGTTGATGCGACTAAAGAGGTGAGTGTAAAGGGGGTAAAATCTCTGTCGTAGGTCTTTTAGTTTATACTTTTCGTTCAAGTTATTATTTTAGTTAATTTTTCTAGTATGCGCGATATGTGTGTGAGGCATCCCACCGCCTGTAAGGGTGGAGGCACGCGTTGCGCTATGTATGAATGTATGGATGTATGACTGTAATAGTTGGTTAATGTTAAGAGGACTGCAACCGGACGACGAGACGTAACGCGGTTGGCATCTAGGGTAGGACACCGAACGGCGAGACGTAACGCGGTGGTCCTAGTGTTTTGTGTTTGAGTTAAGGATAAAAGTTGAGAACCTCTATGAGTTAAAGTTGAAAGGAGTTATTAAGAACATAAGTAAGGGAATTCTAAAGATAAGACAGGATTAGAAATCTCTTATAGACTGTTTGATAGTAAAGTATAAAGGATGAAAGTGAGAACGACTTTCGTCTAAGGAAGGCATTCCCCTAATAATGTGTTTAGTACGGAGTTTGCCTAGGACAAAGAGCTT